TATAGGGAACTCCGGCGTCAAAATTGTCAAATCTAACGCTAATCCTAACCCTACCGCTAACCCTAATCCTAATCCTAATCCCTAACCCTAACCCCTACCCCCTTAACCACGCAAATTTATCGATCATTAAAGCATACAAATCGGCAAACACCAACAAACAAAACACCCCCAAAAAAAACCACCCAGAATTGTCCTGCAGCGTCGAAAAAAAAAACAGATCTGGGGGAAACAACCAAGCATTGGCAGCCCTGATGTCGACGTGACTGTCGTCTTTGTTTCGTTGTGGCTTTTCCGATCACTGTTTGGAGTGCGGCGACGGGAGAGAACTCTGACTAAGTCGTCCAAGGCTGTTTATTCTTCGTCCGGATTTGCCAGTAGAGCCCAAACTCCTTTTTCAAAACTAAAGACCGCCATAAGGTTGTCATGGAAACATCCAAGGTCTGGCCACTGGCACCAGCTGGACCTTATTCTCACAAGGAGGCAGCACTTGAACTGTGTATCACTAACTCACAGCTACCACAGTGCTGACTGTGAGACTGACCAATTGATAGTTGCTGCAAGAGTTCGGATGAAACCAAAGAGAATTGTCAGAGGAGGAGCTGCAGTGTTTACTATCTGCCTTTGCTAATGCGTGCTGTAAATTTGGACTAACAGTCAGCAAAAAGAAGACAAAGGTTATGGTGCAAGGTGTTAATGACAGACCCACAGTCTACGGTGAAGAGCTCAAGACATATTTTTACCTATCTGGGTTCCACAGTGAATAACAAACTATCACTGCACCAAGAAATCAACATCAGGATAGGTAAGGCAGAAACAACAATGAGCAGATTGACAAAAAGAGTTTGGGAGAACAGAAAGCTCACAATTAAAACCAAAACCCTCATGCTTGTGTTCTCAGGACTCTGCTTTATGGCAGTGAAACTTGGTCAACCCTTTTGCACCAAGATAGACGTCTTAATAGCTTTTACATACAAAGCCTAAGAAGAAAACGTGGCATTAGGCGGAAAGAAAAAAATCACACAAAGACAGCTGAAATGTTAAATATCCAAGTACACTTTAATCCTCTGACAGCTGCAAAGTTAAATATCCAAGTACTGCTTTTATTCCCTGACAGCTGAAATGTTAAATATCCATGTACTACTTTCACCCCCCGACAGCTGAAATTTGTTGCGCCGAAGTCTGATATTTGTTCACTGAGCTTTCAAGTATCTAAACATAATCTAGTAATCCTAGTTTCAGCTTCATAGCAAATGGGTCACCCCATAGTTGCTCCGCTCCTGTGCCAACGAAAAACACACGTAGCTCACAGTGTCACGCCATGCACTCAACTCAGAAAACTATATCCTTCCAGTCTACAAATGGAGCAAAAATGCAACGGCCACCGTCTGGAAAAAAAAAAGGTGGCCATGCCTAGCGTCCATTTTGACCTGAAGCATTATATGAGGGTTAATAAACGGTCACCCCAGCAGTACCCTCATTATTAGCTGGGGAAGGGACTTAGGACATTACATCCACCAGCAGGTGTCGCCCCTACAACAACCTGCCTGCCTTCGTTAACGACTGTTCACCCAACAGCCATGCAGTTCTTTGGCACGGAGGAGACACCTTGAACTTGGGTTTCGGACTGCCGACACCCTACAAGATGTTATTTTATGTTTTGTTATCACACTTGATGTCACTGCACATTGGGCATACCCATGCGTGCTCAGTTCTCCGAAGCAGCAGCCACTCCAAAGTACTTCTACTAATTGTCCCCATGAGAAGCTGGTTATATCGTCTCCTTTCTCGGCCCCGAAGACGGCAAAGAGTGCATCACCATGCTTAACTCCCATGTCACGCAATCGTGTTAGTGTCAGGGATTCCTCATTCTCCACTAGCCCAGTTCGTACAGTGTTGACGATATCTGCTCTGTCCATGCTTTTTCCCGCAATCATTGGTGCAGTGCTTGACAGTTGGTCCACTTGCTCATTTCCCTTTACGCCCGCATGACCCGGTGTGTAGATCCAGGTTACGGAGGTTAAGTGCGATTTCCGAATGCTTTCTATCCATTAAGAGCGCATACTGCCTGTTGCTATCTTCTGAAGCATATTCAATGAGTCTGATACAATTACTGCCTGTGTGGCGGTTTGCTCGGATACCCACACTAAAGCTCTAGAAGCAGCGGCTATTTCCATTGTCATGCTTGACGTGGTTGTCTGATAAGTGCCACTGTCCTCATGTATTGTTTTCCCCGCGCTGTGTATGCCCATGCTGACCTTGATCCGCGCTTCATGGATCCATCTGTGTAGATGATGATATCTTCTGGGTCTGAATGCTGATCTGTCAGTTCCCTACGGCCGCAGGAATTTGATCCCTGCAGTACCTTCCGAGTGTGATGACAACCTTAGAGATGCCATGCATGTCTACTAGTGTATTCGTCCATTCTTTTCTGTGACTGATCACGTCTAGGTCACATACCTGCTAGATTAAATCCTCAGCCTTTGCCATCCAAGAGCGGCCTCTTTTGAGACGCGTTCCTTTTGTGTCGTGTATAGCTTTGTGCAGTGGGTGGTTAACGTCTGCCGATACCCCCATGTAAGCCTCGACCTGTGCCACTTTGTATCTGCTAGTCATTGTCGGCAAACCGAGGACATAATGCATGGCGTTGCAGGAGGTGTCTTTTGTGCAGCCGAGTATGAGTCTCATGGCCTCATTTTGTACTCAGTCCAGTATTTTTAGCTGGGTTTTGCTGACAGTGAGAAGGCCAAGACCATAGTCAATGACGCTAAGCACAAGCCCTTGATCGAGAAGGAAAAGTAGGCATTGTTCAATATCAGCTGCTGCTAGCACCTTGAGTGCTGTCAAACCTTTCCTGGCTCTAAGTATGACGTTGTCTACGTGGCATTTGTATGACAGGCATCTATCAAATGTCATGCCCAGGTATTTCATGGTGTCCGTTCTCTCGATGTCCACACCACAGATGCTTACGACTGGTGTTGGTGTACTTACGATGTGGGTATTCAGAGAGAACCATGCTAAGGAGGCTTTGGACGGGTTCACCTGAGCTCTTGATTCCTGGCACCACTCACTAAGTCTGTCCAGTTCGTGTTGTAGTGTGGTTGTAATTTCCTGCCTGTTTTTACCTCGACGGTAAACAAGGATATCATCTGCATACGACATTGTTTTGCCTAGGCGTATGTTTTGTGCACTCGTGACTCCTGCTGTGAAAACATTGAAAAGCACAGGCAACAATGGTGATCCCTGGGGCAGACCCATTAGGACGCGTTGAGGTTCGGATGCCCATTCACCACATCGAAACGACACTGTTCTTTAAAATAGCGCTGCTGCGATCCAGTTGACGAATTTTGTTTCTATCTGCATACCTAACAGCAGTCTGATGAGCATGCTGTATGGGACGCTGTTGTACGCATCTTCTAAGTCAATAGCGGCTGCAGCCATTTCCATTCCCTCCTGGAAACCCTCATATGTGTCGTAGGCAAATACTGCAGCATTGCACCATGTATCTCTTCCTGGTCGGTAGCCACCTAGTGTAGCGGGGAATAGGCCACCTGACTCCAATGTTTGGGTCAACGTTCTGGCAACGATTTTTTCCATGAGTTTTCCTACAGTGTTCTAAACATAATATTAGCGCATTGAGTAGCTTAACATTCAAATGAAATGTCCAGACTATTTGGACATATGTTAAATTAAATTTTGATATGCCACTGCTTTTCAGTCATTTAGCAGGTCATCTGACAGTTTCATGTTGCTGTTTTTTTCCCCCAGAATATATGAAGTACAACAGTTTGTCTTGCTACTCCATGTTCAGCTTGTCGATGTTGTTGGTGATCTGTCACTTGCCGTTTGGTCACAGCAGATAACAAAGAACAATGATGACATAACTGATAGTTTTCCTGACATCAGCTTTGGTACAGAAGAGAGGCAGACTTTGGTACAGAGGAGAGGCAGACTTTGGTACAGAGGAGAGGCAGACTTTGGTACAGAGGAGAGGTAGACTTTGGTACAGAGGAGAGGCAGACTTTGGTACAGAGGAGAGGCAGACTTTGGTACAGAAGAGAGGCAGACTTTGGTACAGAGGAGAGGCAGACTTTGGTACAGAGGAGAGGCAGACTTTGGTACAGAGGAGAGGCAGACTTTGGTACAGAGGAGAGGCAGACTTTGGTACAGAAGAGAGGCAGACTTTGGTACAGAAGAGAGGCAGACTTTGGTACAGAGGAGAGGCAGACTTTGGTACAGAAGAGAGGCAGACTTTGGTACAGAGGAGAGGCAGACTTAGGTACAGAGGAGAGGCAGACTTTGGTACAGAGGAGAGGCAGACTTTGGTACAGAGGAGAGGCAGACTTTGGTACAGAGGAGAGGCAGACTTTGGTACAGAGGAGAGGCAGACTTTGGTACAGAGGAGAGGCAGACTTTGGTACAGAAGAGGCAGACTTTGGTACAGAGGAGAGGCAGACTTTGGTACAGAAGAGGCAGACTTTGGTACAGAAGAGAGGCAGACTTTGGTACAGAGGAGAGGCAGACTTTGATACAGAAGAGGCAGACTTTGATACAGAGGAGAGGCAGACTTTGGTACAGAGGAGAGGCAGACTTTGGTACAGAGGAGAGGCAGACTTTGATACAGAGGAGAGGCAGACTTTGGTACAGAGGAGAGGCAGACTTTGGTACAGAAGAGAGGCAGACTGGTACAGAAGAGGCAGACTTTGGTACAGAAGAGGCAGACTTTGGTACAGAGGAGAGGCAGACTTTGGTACAGAAGAGGCAGACTTTGGTACAGAGGAGAGGCAGACTTTGGTACAGAGAAAAGGCAGACTTTGGTACAGAGGAGAGGCAGACTTTGGTACAGAAGAGAGGCAGACTTTGGTACAGAAGAGAGGCAAACTAACAGCCTTGATGATCGAGCACGTAGCCATGAGAACTACATATAGTCAGCATGTAGCTATGAGAACTACATATAGTCAGCACGTAGCTATGAGAACTACAGATAGTCAGCACCTTCTCCAATGAGCGAAATGCATGCTCATACAAATCATGTCTCAGCCAATCAGCTGATAAAGCATACGCTTCTATCAAAGGCAGATAACTGTAGTCAAGTCAGCAGTAATGGCTTTCATCCTTCTTCATTCGGGCAAAACAGAAAACCCAAAAAAATGGCACTGAATGAACCCCCGGAGAAAATCTTTTCAAAAATGGCACTGAATGAACCCCCGGAGAAAATCTTTTCAAAAACAAGGGCAGAACATGGACATACAAATTCTGTACAAAAGAAAAGAAACCATGAGTCACACATATCTTCTACAGTGAGAAGGTCTGGCATTGAAAGGGCCAGATTAGTAGTGTCCCTGACATCAGATAAACATGAAGACAGAGTGGCCAGTGTAGGATCACAGTCAGAACTGCTTGTCTCTGCTCTGAAGCCGTTCAGGTGTAGAAACAAGGGTCCCATGGAGACAGAGTCTGGCTCATTTGTGTGTGCAGCATCAGGAACCACTGCACAAGTAGGCACTAGCACATCAACTTTGCTTTCTTTGATTTCTGGGGCAGTCAGTGTTCCACGGTTCACAGCTCATACATGCATATCTTCAACAGCTTCTGAATACCCAGCATGCCCCACAAGGGATTCCTGGCCGTTGTTAAGAGAGATGATATCCAAGCCTCCTGTGACTGTTGTGAGCATCAGTCCTGCTCCCAGACAGACACTGAGCACAGTGCAGCTGCAGCCAGCACATGAAGAACCCAAGGCCAGGCTCGTCAGCAAGTTGCAGAAGGAAATCAAATGTGAATGCAAATTTAACAGAGGCCAGCCATGCTGGTTTCTATTTCAAGAAGATCGGCTACGAAAAGAGAGGCTGCATCACTTGACTTTGAAAAGAGAGTCGTTAGACTTGGTGATTTTAGCAAAGATTGCTGCCAACATTAACCGGGAAGAGAAGAGCAAGAAATGCCATGGACGGGACAGACAAAGGTGCAGAGTGTGTTACTATCATGAAGGTCAACAGATTTGTAGAGAAACATTCATGTTTATACATGGCATATGCAAAGGACGAATGTGTGCTTTATTGCAGCATTATAAGAAGAAAGGTTTAAGTATCAGGGTGCATGGAAACAGAGCCAACATTCCCCATCATGCCCTGAGTGATGAAGATAGTGAAAGAGTTATAGACTTCATCCGCAAATATGCAAATAACCATTGTCTCTCCACATTTGGTCATGAGCCACAGAGTAAAGCACTGCTAATAATGTCCGCGACAAAGTCCAAAATGTCTGTCCATCATCAGTATAGACTCTGGTGCTCTGAGAACAAACATAGAGTTGTTTCACTGCGTTCTTTTCAAAACCTATGGACTAAACACTTGCCTTACATTGTTGTGCTCAGGGGCAGTAATAAAACTCCAGTCCCTGAGTCAACATCACATCAGGATGTCTTGGCTTTACCAGAAGAAGTAGACTTTGAAGATGAAACTGTACCAGAAGTTAGCACGGAAGGGAATGTTCACCTGCCCCTCAGTAGCGTCAGTTGTATGAATACAGAAGGTACAGCCAGAGAAGTGGATGTTGTGCGCAGTGAAGTTTCTAGACAGAGTCATTGTGATTCTAGCACACAGGCAGATTTGGATTGTTTCACAAAGGTAAAAATAATCAGAAAACGCAAAAGTTTACCGCCACGAAAAGTAAAAATGTCATCCGGCCTGCCCGAGTCAGCAGAAGGAGATTTGAAGGCAAAATACATCTTGGGTGAGCCACACGTAATGCATACTGTTATAGGTAGGGACTGTACTGATATCAGCCTCAAGATCACTGATAACAGCAGTGATGCTCGTGGGATTCAAGGCCCATTGCAGCAAATGGACTCACATCCTCCATTCTTTAATGGTGAACATATTTCTCACATCACAGACTTATTACAGAGTCATCCAACAGTTGCTGGGGACGGACAGACTACTGTGACCTTGCTGGGAAGCAAAGACATCAGATACAAAATGAACAAACCATGTATACCCTTGACAACAACTACCAGTTCCTATCCTCCGCAGTGCTTGCCTCAACCCTCCCAACTCATGGATACCAACTGTATGCCATGCTGTGACACATCTGTCCTATCACATGATCTGTGTGAGCAGACACAGTCTGTGCTCCTGTCTTCTCAAGGCTCAGATTTGTCAAACATTCATCTACTTGACTGGCAGACTTGGCACTCGTACAGTGAATTCTGAAGCTCACTTTTTGTTCTGACATAAAATCTATTTCCCTTTCTGATAATAATGAAGGTGTGTCAAAATGGTTTGGTTCACATTGGCACCAGCCACATGCAGGTGTTGTCAAACCCCCAGCCACATGCAGGTGTTGTCAAACCCCCAGCCACATGCAGGTGTTGTCAAACCCCCAGCCACATGCAGGTGTTGTCAAACCTCCAGCCACATGCAGGTGTTGTCAAACCCGCAGCCACATGCAGGTGTTGTCAAACCCCCAGCCACATGCAGGTGTTGTCAAAACCCCAGCCACATGCATGTGTTGTCAAACCCCCAGCCACATGCAGTGTTGTCAAACCTCCAGCCACATGCAGTGTTGTCAAACCTCCAGCCACATGCAGGTGTTGTCAAACCTCCAGCCACATGCAGGTGTTGTCAAACCCCCAGCCACATGCAGGTGTTGTCAAACCTCCAGCCACATGTAGGTGTTGTCAAACCCCCAGCCACATGCAGGTGTTGTCAAAACCCCAGCCACATTCAGGTGTTGTCAAACCTCCAGCCACATGCAGGTGTTGTCAAACCCCAGACACAAGCAAGTGTCATAAACCTCAACCAGTCACAGGAAGGTGTCATTAAACCTCAACCACTCACAGGAGGGTGTCATTAAACCTCAACCACTCGCAGGCAGGTGTCATTAAACCTCAACCACTCACAGGAAGGTGTCATTAAACCTCAACCACTCACAGGAAGGTGTCATTAAACCTTAACCACTCACAGGCAGATGTAATTAAACCTCAACCAGTCACAGGAAGGTGTCATTAAACCTCAACCAATCACAGGCAGGTGTCATTAAACCTTAACCACTCACAGGCAGGTGTCATTAAACCTTAACCACTCACAGGCAGGTGTCATTAAACCTCAACCAATCACAGGCAGGTGTCATTAAACTCTTCACCATTTTTTTCTTAAATGATCAGTGTGGATTCTCCCATGGTTAGTGAGGCATTGTCACATGATGAGTGTGGTTTCTCCCATAGTTAGTAAGGCATTGGCACACAATGAGTGTGATATTCTGCCTTGATAGGTGGGATTATCCCATGATGAGTGTCACAATCTTCAGTGATGAGTATGATATTCTGTCATGATGAGTGTAATATTCTCCTATGTTGTGTGGTATATTATCCCATGATCAGTGCCACATTCCCTCATCATGAGTGTAGCATCATGATAAGTGTAACATTCTTCCACGATGAGTGTGATTCTTGCATGATGAGTGTGATATTCTCTTATGAAGAGTGTGACTTTCCCCCATGATGAATGGTATTCTTCCATGATGAGTATATTATTCTCCCATGATTCATGTGACATTCTCCCTGATGAGTGGGATATTCTCTTATGATGAGTTTGACATTCTCCCATGATGAGTATGACTTTCCTCCATGGTAGTTGTGACACCCTTTTAAGATAAATATGAAACTCTCTTATGATGAGTGTGACATTCTCCCATGATGAGTATGACTTTCCTCCATGGTAGTTGTGACACCCTCTTAAGATAAATATGACACTTTCTTAATGATGAGTGTGACATTCTTCCATGATGAGCATGGCATTCTCCCATGATGAGTCTGAAATCTTCTAGTGATGAGTGTGGCATTCTCACATGAGTGTGACTTTCCCCCATGATGAGTATGACTTTCCTCAGTGATAGGTGTGACACTCTCCCATGATGAGTGAAATTCTCCAGTGATGAGTGTGACATTCTCACATGATAAGCATGCCATTCTCCCATGATAAGTAGGGAACACTCCCCCCTCCTCCCTCTGTGAGAATGTGGCATTCTCACAGCACTAATATGGTTGCTTGTAAAGATGAAATTGTAGGTACTTTGGTTGTTCTTGGTACTTCATTTACTTTGATACTGTAGTGTTGGCAAGAAAGGATCATGTCAGATACTGTAGTTTTATCAAGAAAGGTTCATGTCAGATACTGTAGTGTTGGCAAGAAAGGATCATGTCAGATACTCTAGTGTTGGCAAGAAAGGATCATGTCAGATAGTGTTGGCAAGAAAGGATCATGTCAGATACTGTAGTGTTGGCAAGAAAGGATCATGTCAGATAGTGTTGGCAAGAAAGGATCATGTCAGATACTGTAGTATTGGCAAGAAAGGATCATGTCAGATACTGTAGTGTTGGCAAGAAAGGATCGTGTCAGATACTGTGGCATTAAAAATGTTACACAGATGTTGTTCTGTGAGAAGTGTTTATACTGTATTTATCATTGTGATGAGTTAATTTGCTTCAATCTAGCGAATGCACTATGTGCAATCTACAGAGGAAATCACAAACATTGAACATCCTAAAAGATTATCTGTCTCCCAGCCTTGCTGGTTAAATGAGAGGATTCGGGGTTTGCCCACGTCTGATTCCCTACTGTTGATAAATTGTATATTTCAATGTATTAACTTTTGCTCACTGATATATGCTGTTAAAATAAATTCCACAAAACTGGAATAACATTAAAACATTAAATTAGAAATTAAATGATGAGACTGGGAATGAAATACTGATTGATGGTTGACAGAGTGGGTTGATATGTCCACTCATCTGTAGTTTGTGCTCCTTGGGTCAGCTTCTGGCTCAGCCTTGGAGACACTTCTGGCAGGTAGAATCTTCTAGTCCAGTCTAGACAATTGTGCACCTGCAGCAATGCTGGAACTAGAACAATTAAACAGTCCCTGTACAAGCAGTTGGGAAAGTTCTCACTGAAGGCCACAATGCCTCCAGCCCTCATATACTGTTACACTACACAAACATATATTTAGAGTAGGATAGTAACTGTTACACTACACACACATATATATGGAGTAGGATAGTAACTGTTACACTACACACACATATATATGGAGTAGGATAGTAACTGTTACACTACACACACATATATATGGAGTAGGATAGTAACTGTTACACTACACACACATATATATGGAGTAGGATAGTAACTGTTACACTACACACACATATATATGGAGTAGAATAGTAACTGTTACACTTCACACACATATATATGGAGTAGGATAGTAACTGTTACACTACACACATATATATGGAGTAGGATAGTAACTGTTACACTTCACACACATATATATGGAGTAGGATAGTAACTGTTACACTACACACACACATATATGGAGTAGGATAGTAACTGTTACACTACACACATATATATGGAGTAGAATAGTAACTGTTACACTACACACACACATATATGGAGTAGGATAGTAACTGTTACACTACACACACATATATATGGAGTAGGATAGTAACTGTTACACTATACACACATATATATGGAGTAGGATAGTAACTGTTACACTACACACACATATATATGGAGTAGGATAGTAACTGTTACACTATTCATTCATTCATTCAGTAGCATGTCCCTCGCGGAACCTCGCTGCCATAACAACCCTCCGGAAAACCTTCCTATCATGAGCAAGATGTCCTGCGTCTGATACACCCATCTGGAGATCATCTGCCACATCCTGCACTCATCTTCTCCTTGGCCTTCCTCTTCCTCTCTTCCCAGGCATATACCCCTCCATTATTGTTCTCTCTAGACCTCCATGACGTTTCAAGTGACCAAAATATTTCAATTTTCTTTGTTTTATTGTCTTTACTAGCCAACCCTCTTCAATATTCAGCTCTTGAAGTATGGATGCATTTGTTCTTTTCTTTACCCAAGATATTCTTAGAACCTGTCTGTAACATTTATATTCAAATGCATTTATGCGCTGTTCCGCTTGTTTAGTAAGTGTCCAGGTCTCACAGGCGTATGTTGCAATGGGAAAGATGCATGCTCTTAAAAATCTGACCTTTGTAATTCTATCTGTACAATTCCATAATTTATTCAGTTGTTTTAGTCTTTGAAGAGCAATTGATAGTCGCCGTTTAATTTCTTTCATTGTGTCACCATTGTTGGTAACCAGTGACCCAAGATATTCGAAATTTCCCACCACTTCCAATCTTTCCTCATTAACATATATTTCCTTCTCCATGGCAGTTTTGTTTGTATGCATTATCTTTGTTTTTGCTGTGTTAAGAAATAAGTTATGATTTTCACTATTTCTTTGGAGTGAGGTTAATAAGTTTTCTAAACCATTTTGTGATGTTGATAGTAATACTGTATCATCAGCATAACGAATTTCTGGTATTTCATGACCACCGATGTTTAGGGCATCATATTGTTCCTTGTTTATATCATCTCTTACATTTCTCATTACACTACACACATATATATGGAGTAGGATAGTAACTGTTACACTATACACACATATATATGGAGTAGGATAGTAACTGTTACACTACACACACATATATATGGAGTAGGATAGTAACTGTTACACTATACACACATATATATGGAGTAGGATAGTAACTGTTACACTATACACACATATATATGGAGTAGGATAGTAACTGTTACACTACACACATATATATGGAGTAGGATAGTAACTGTTACACTACACACACATATATATGGAGTAGGATAGTAACTGTTACACTATATACACATATATATGGAGTAGAATAGTAACTGTTACACTACACACACACATATATATATGGAGTAGGATAGTAACTGTTACACTACACACACATATATATGGAGTAGAATAGTAACTGTTACACTACACACACATATATATGGAGTAGGATAGTAACTGTTACACTACACACACATATATATGGAGTAGGATAGTAACTGTTATACTACACACACATATATATGGAGTAGGATAGTAACTGTTACACTACACACATATATATGGAGTAGGATAGTAACTGTTACACTACACACACATAAATATGGAGTAGGATAGTAACTGTTACACTACACACACATATATATGGAGTAGGATAGTAACTGTTACACTACACACATATATATGGAGTAGGATAGTAACTGTTACACTACACACACATATATATGGAGTAGGATAGTAACTGTTATACTACACA